GTCTCCTCTACAAGAAATGCGTCTGCTTCCTGGACGACATCCTGATATTTTCAGAATCAGAGGAGACCCACGAGGGAGACGTCAAGGAAGTTCTGCAGAGACTGCAGGAGCACAGGCTGTACGCCAAGCTGGAGAAGTGCCAGTTCGACATGAAGGAGGTAGATTTCCTGGGCTACAAGTTGTCGGACAAGGGGCTCGCCATGGACAGCGCCAAGGTTCGCTCAGTGTTGGACTGGAAGAGCCCGCGCAATCGGAAGGAGGTCCAGCGGTTTGTCGGTTTCGCCAACTTTTACCGCAAGTTCATCAAGGGGTTCGCGATGCAGACGGCGGCCATTACCGACACGCTCAGCTCCAAGAAGAAGAAGTTCATCTGGACGGAGCAAGCGGAGCAGTCCTTTCAGAAACTCAAGCGTCTCTTCTCGTCCGAAGAGCAGCTACTGCATGTGAATCCCAGCAGACCGATGAGGGTTGAAACGGACGCCTCAGACAGAGCCGTGGGAGCAGTACTGTTGCAGCAAGACCCGCATGGGGACTGGAGACCGTGTGCCTTCTACTCCAGGAAGCTCAGCAAGTCAGAGCAGAACTACACCATCTGGGACAGGGAGTTGCTGGCCATTCATGCAGCATTCAAGGCGTGGCGGCACTTCCTCATTGGAGCCAAACACACAGTGCAGGTCCGCACGGACCATAAAAACCTGGAGTACTGGCGCACGGCAAGGTTCCTGAACCAGAGGCACATACGATGGGCGGAGTTCTTTGCGGATTTCGACTTCAGGATAGAGTACATCCCAGGCGACAACAACATCATGGCGGATGCACTGTCCAGAAAGCCGCAATACCTCGAGGAGGCGGCACCAGCAGCGGCCAAGCACATTTTCGCACCGAAAGCGTGGGCGTGCGCTTCAGCAACCGTGGACCTGGATGCTGTACGTCGAGCACTGCAGGAGGACCCCTTCGCGCAAGCAAAGATGGCAGAGGTGCAAAGGGGCACGGCGGAGGACGACGAGTTCCAGATACGCGACGGATTGCTCATCCGCAGAGGGGCCCTCTACGTACCGGGAGACGACCTCCGCGCGAAAGTACTGCAGCAGTTGCACGACGCACCCACCGCCGGGCACTTTGGCAAAGAGAAGACGGTAGAATTAGTAGCCAGAGATTTTTGGTGGCCCAAGATGCGGGGAAGTCGCGGATTACGTCTCGAGGTGCGACACCTGCCAGAGGGCCAAACCAGTGCACAGACCGCCGGCCGGATTGCTGGAACCGCTGCAAACTCCGTTCGAACCATGGGAGAGAGTGGCCCTGGACTTTGTCACGGATCTGCCCAGCTCGAGGGGCAAGACGGCTGTGCTGGTGGTGGTGGACTTGTTCTCCAAGATGGCACATTTCATTCCGTGTGCGAAGGTGGCCACGGCGGAACAAACCGCCAAACTGTTCATAGACCACGTGTTCAAGGTTCACGGTCTGCCGCGGTCTATTCTGTCCGACCGAGGGCGACAGTTCATCTCGAACTTCTGGCAGAGGCTGATGGGCTTCCTGAACGTCAAGATCAACCTGGCGTCGGCTAGACACCCGCAGACCAATGGGCAAGCGGAGCGTGTCAATGCCATCATGCAGCAGTACCTGAGATGTTATGCGAATCAACAGCCTGCGACGTGGGTGGATTACCTGCCTCTCGCCGAGTTCGCCTACAACAACACGAAGCACGTGTCCACGGGGGTCACGCCGTTCTTCGCCAACAACGGGAGGCACCCCAGAACCTTCCCGGGACTGGAAAGAATGGGGGAGGGGGAGCCGCAGACAGCGGATGCATTCGCGTCGGAGTTGCAGGAGGTCCACGATCAGCTGCGGCGGCACCTGGAGCTGGCTAAACACGCATACAAGGTACAAGCGGACAAACACAGAAGGGTTGGCGAAGAGATCCATGTGGGAGACTGGGTCTGGTTAGCAGCCCACGCAGTGCCGGCCAGGTCGTTGGCGAAGAAGAAACTAGGGCATAAACAACTGGGGCCCTACCAAGTCGAAGAACAGGTCAACCCGGTGGCTTTCAGGCTGGCTCTTCCGGAGGGTTCCAGGATGCATCCGGTGTTCCACAGATCGGTGCTCACTCCATACAAGGCACCTCACAGGTTTCAGGAACCAGGAACGGCACCGGGTCCGCTCCGAGAGAGAACCGGGCAGGGGGGAGTGGCACGGGAGGAGCGCATCAACGAAGCCACGGAGATTTTGGACTCCAGATGGGGGAAGAGGGGGTAGAATACCTTCTCGCCAAGGAGGGCACCCCGGCCAGTGCCAACAGCTGGGTGCCGGGCTACGCTTTAGACGAACCTCTGCTCAAAGAAGAGTTTCATGCCCTCTTCCCACATAGGCCAATGCCAGCAGACTTTTTCGACGACTGGCTTTTCACGCCCACGCTTTCAGCCAGCACGTTCCGGGGGGTTCGACTCGGACGAGGAACCGACACGAGACGCCCGTTCCCCGGGGGGGTCACCCTCGGGATCTGCTTCAGAACCCTCGTATTGGTGGGATGATCGACCAGAGGAGCAGTTCCGCAGAAGGTGGCTGGAGGGTCCAGGACGAGCAACGTCTCCAGAAGGTAACGAGGGAGAGACGGACATGGACGGTTTCGGGGACGACCCGGGTTTCGAGCACGGCGGCACAGAGATGGAAGCGGAGGTGACCGTCGTCAACGAGAGCAGGGAGGAAGAACCGGAAGACTTCAGATGGCGGCCCGCCACGGGAAGCGAACTGTATCCGACATTCGTCCCCCTGACACGGCAGCACCCAGATCCCGCACCGGAAGGAGGGGAGGGGGAAGAGGGGGCTTCGAGGGGGGGATGGATGTCAGGGGTTCAGGAGCAGAGGCAAGGGCAAGGGAGGAAACAGAGAGCGAGGGGGAGGAGGCAGAAGAAAAGATGAGTGATGACGACGACCCGAGATCTCCGAGTCTTTCCAGTGAATCAGAAGATTCACAGAAAGGAGCACCAGTGGCCAGGGCAAGGGGGAGCCTAGGGGGACGCCCCAGGAAGATAGAGCCAGAGGGGACTCAGAGGGGAGCAGTTGGAAATCGGGACCAGCGTCACCGCCAGAGAGCAGGGAAGAGGAAGGGCGCCAGGGATCAAGCGTTGGCAGCTCACAACAGGGGGGAGGGCACGAGTCAGGAGTGGCCACACCTCCATCGGGGAGCGAAGAAACGGTCAGACGGAAGGTGGAAGGTTTGGGCGCGCGCCAAGTTCAAATGCACAGGAAGGTGGCACAGTAGGCAGCCCGGAAAGGGAGCCAGGTCCTAAAGCCCGCCGAAAGGAGGGAGAAGAGTCAGGGTCAGCGTCAGCGTCAGAGGAATCCCGGAAAGAAGAGACCCCAGGGGGCAGAGGGACCCAGAGAAGAACAGTCAGGCGGAAAAGGTGGAGCAGGGCTAGGATATTAAGTTGGTGTACAAGGGGCGGAGACTCAGACGGAGCTTCGCCGATCTAACCCCTAGACGTAGAGCTGGGGCGCTGCGGCTTGAAAATGGAAACTGTACTTCAATAAAGACTTTTGTACATTACTGCCGGCTAGCGTTGGTCCTCTGTGAGCTGGGACCTGGAGCCAGCTCTGACAGTATATTATCGTGGTATGGGAGCAGCTCTGAAACGGATAAAAAAGCTTTACAGAGAATAATTAAAATTGCCCAGAATGTTATTGGGCTCCAACTACCAACCCTGGATGAGATCTTCACGTCTCGCACTTTGAAGAAGTCACACAATATCCTGAGAGATCCCACCCATCCGGCTCACAACTTCTTTGAACTGTTGCCTTCGGGCAGAAGATATAGGACAATGAAAACACGAACCACACGCCTTCTGAATAGTTTCTATCCAAGAGCTCTGATTGCACTAAATAATGATCTCAGGGCCAGTTGCAAGGAATAGCAAGCAGGGAGTAGGAAGGAATGAGACAGGTTTTTAGGTTATGTTATGCTTTTAATAGGTTATGTTACATTCTGGAGTATGATATGTTTTTATAGATTATGTCTGAATAGGATGAGAGTGTTGGAGATACGTGCAAATGTGTATGTGAACCCGGTCTTCGAGTGGGTGTTTGATTTTCGTTGTTGTGTATACTGTGTATATACGGACAATGACAATAAATTTATCTACATCTACATCTACATCTACATCTACATCTACATTTTCCCCTTGCACAGTGTATGACGAAGGAGACAAAAGGTCTCAGGGACAAAGGTTACAGACAGGACACCACAGACTGCTGAGACCGCAAAAGGTCAGACAGAGGGAACAATGTTCAGACAGCTGTGGCTTGTCTGGGGGGGGGGTTGTGCCCTGCACCCCAGGGTCACGCGTGCAGACAGACCGTGGCTGCCTGCTGGTGGGGAGTGTGCTCCCTCCGGACCCAACTCCACGATATCCCTACACCTCCCCTTTTCTGTCTATCAAAGAGTAGGTCCCAAGTCCACCCATGCCCTGTGTGTGAAGCCGGGCATACTCAGAATTGGAGGAGTGTATAATGCCGGGAGCAAGGTGCTGAAGCCGAATTCGATCAGAGGCAGAGAGGGCCATAATGCAGGGACCAGAGCAAACTTTGCAGAGTTGTAAAATAGTGGGAATACATTGCATACAACAATAGTAGCAAATAAAGGCAGGTTGGAAACATTACAGCATAGGTGAAGATGTGTTTGAGTCATGGAAGATCAGGAGGTCAGCTAATGAGCTAGTTTCACAGATTGTCAAAGCCTTCATTGGCAAAAGCAGGCATGGCGTGAAAAGAAACAGCATGGAGTCATCAGCAAGTTGGGCAAATATATGGCAGCAGTCAGTGAGGAAATGTCTCTGGTTGTTCAGGCTTGAGAGAGCTGATATTGTCCAGCAGGAACAAGGGCTTGATGTCACCCCAAGTGACTGAAACGACCTCTTCCCAGTCTGCACTCGGCGGTACCACATCTCTCTCGGATGGTGCTTTATTGGCAACTCCTGTAGGAAGCTGAAAGTTTGGAGCTGGACTGGTCAGGCCATGCTGCCAGACCATGCTGGAGAGCGAATCGCACACACTGAACTAGAACTCACAGCAGACCTGTAGGGGTAGAAATAAAGCATAGCCCCGCCCCCAGGTGGTCCGGGGCCACAAGGCCATGCCACTTCAGGTCCGCTGCAGATCCGGTAGCTGTTGATAAAAAAGGTTGTTAGCTCGAAGCCCTTGGACTTGCGAAAACATTTGTCTGCTGGTGCAAACCTGTCTGAATCAAAAGCAAGATGGTTAAATGAAAACCGCAAAGTGTTTAATTTACACTGGATGTTGCCTAGGGCCTACTCTTCTCCCCATTTCCTAATGTTTTCCAAAAGTGTCTTCGGGGAGCAATTGGCCCATTCCACACTTGTTTAACCTGTGGAATTACAGGGACTACTGTGGGTCAGAGAAGTATCTCACTGGAGGCAAGATTGCTGGAAAAGATGGGAGCAATAAACAGAAACAAGAAACGGGAATGTTAGGCGTTTGGGCCTGACTCATAACAGCAATACAGGCAATCATGTGCTGTATAACTTTTGAGTTGTTATGAACCCTGAAAAGGTTTCAAGTGAGACATGGACCGTGGAATATGGTTTAAAATGCACAGTCCCTTGGCCACAACTGCAGTGCTTCTGTGTCGCTAGGAGTCACAGCATGTGGAAATGCTTGAGATTATGAAGCAATGTGAGCAAGCCTTGAGATTAAGAGTCTCATAATAATAATAATAAAAATAAATTTTATTTGTATCCTGCTCTCCCCAGCCAAAGCCAGGCTCAGAGCGGCTAACATCATACAAATAAGACAATATGCATAATACAATATACAATATGCAAATAAAATAACATTCAACATTCAGTAAAATAATATAAAATAATATTAAATATCAGCATTTCAAAATTAAACAGAAATCCACTCAACAATTACAATAAGTAATTTCTAAACTCCAATCAATAAAACAACAGCAAACCACAGTGCACAACATAATACAATACAAAATAAGAAGCAGAGACTGGAGGGTGGGGCAAGGCAGGTGGAAAGAGGCCTTGCCTGATGGAGTCTCCCCCCTCACAGTTCTTCCTCCAGGCACAGCTTCCTTATGAAGAATCCCAGGACCAGGGGGTGGGGCAAGGCAGGTGGAAGGAGGCCTTGCCTGATGGAGTCTCCCCCCTCACCAATGCTCTACTGATGCTCTACTGGCTGAGCTAGCCGGGCTTTGGGCTGGCAGTAAAGGTAACCAAAATTATTCAGCTAATTTTTTTCCCTGATAGATGAAAAAACACCATCACTTTCTACCAGGTCTGTGAACAAAGCATTGGTTGCCAAGTTACACAGAGGTGCATCCACCCTCTTATTTCCTGCAGAAAGTGAGGCCCATGCAGGTTACGCGCATGGATGTGGTTTACCACAAAAAACTTACAGCATGCTGGCTGATTAGACACAGCAAAGAGAGAAAAGGACTCAATAAATTTTCATCCATTAGATGCATGATTCGATCTATTAGCAATTGATGAATCAATTGATAGGCACATTGTGAGTCCAGCACCAACTTGAAGGGTGCGGCTGGAAAGAAGTGGAAAACCAAAATCGAAGCAGCAATTTCTGCTCATTGAAGTGAGGGAAACAGGTTGAGGTGGAATAAATTTAAATACATCACTCTACAGTTCCAGGAAGTTGGTACACCAGCACCCCCCTCCCCCGTGCCCTGTCAGTAGATGACTTGGGGGATGGGTGCTGTGAAGTGAAGGCCCAAGACAGGAGTTGATCATGATGTGAGCTGCGCACAGGTGGGCTGAAGCGAGCTCCTGCCAGTCCTGTGGAGCCTCCTTTTATTGAGACAAGTATGCAAGCTAGGCAGATACATTTTGGGCTGTGACCTTTACACATCTTCCGTCCCCAGATCGTGGGGTGGTACAAAGTTATTTTGGCACCTGTTTCCACAGCGTCATTTTCCCCTTGCACAGTGTATGACGAAGGAGACAAAAGATCTCAGGGACAAAGGTTACAGACAGGACACCGCAGACTGCTGAGACAGAATCAGTTGTCCCTTTTGCAGAGACTGTGTGGGACTAGTGGAGGATCAAACCCACAGCTCCAGGGAAAAGAGACCCCCCGACCTGAATGGGAATGAGATGAACCTCCCCGGGCAGATGGAAAATGGTGTCTTCCTGCATAATTAAATACAGCCTTGGTGGCAGGTGTTTTTCAAAGATGTTACTGGCTGTGGGGCTATCTGAGCAGGAAAACATTCCCCCTTTTTTGGTCCTGGGTCAGAGGGTGACCCGATTACTGGCTCTTCCCTGAGTAACACAAAGCACCTGCAAGCGCACTAGCTTTATGAGCTTGAAGGGCATGTAGGGTGCATGCAGAAATCACAGGAAACTGTTTCTGTAGCAATTGAGTTTGCAGGTTCACAGCGACTTTTTTAAATGCCTGCAAAAAGCATGCAGCAATCAAGGGGAAACACTTTTGAGGCAGCTGACTTTGCCTGTCCACAGTACTAGACTGTCCTTCTCCTGCCAGATGATCAAAGAGAAGGCCTCGGGCAGCCTGCACACGGGCTTGATGCTCTGCAGCTTGGCAAAATTCGGTAGGCCAAATGACAAACTGGCCAGGATTCAAGAGCATTTTCATTACAGATTTCCAATCATCAGGAATCAATACCAAGTTTGAGGACTCATCCTCCTCCAGTCCACGTGGATAGGTACTGGTCAAATCCAATTCATTATCGGCTTTTTCCACCTTTCTGATTACAGAACAAGGCAGAGGGTCCCAACAGCTAACCTGTTGGCCCTGACCATCCGGTGCCCATGCGGCCGGACTGAGCATGTTTAGGTCAGCAAGCTCTTCCACAGTTAGGTGAGAAGATGCTTTTGCCTCCCTAACCATTTGCTCTACAGCGGAGAGATTTGCCTTCTGAGCCTTTACCAACTCAAGAGGCATAGCTGGATCTGCCAAGCCAGGCAGACTTGAGGGCCGAAATGAAGTAACATGAGAAGGTTGGGGCTGAGATAAAAGAGGAGGTTGCTGAAAACCCTGAGAAGCCTCAGCTGTTGGTGTCTCAGGTGCTGGCTGCTTAGAAGCCAGGCTCAGCGGAGCTGCTACCACCACCCTCGTCAGGGCGGAAGAAACAGATGGAGGGTTGATAAGAGAAAGTACAGGCTGAACTTCTGCAGGGCTGAACCGCTGAACCGCATCTCTGCAGAAGTGCCATGTCTGAAGCACCTGCACTGGAGCTCGCGGCTCTGAATGCAGGGTCTGCCCTATTTGTTCCCAGTCCCTGAGCCAGAGCGACCCGCTCTCTGGATACCAGGGACACTGTGCATCAATTTCCTGCAAGAGAGCATTAAGTGCCTTGCAGGAACAAGGATGCCGCGCTTTTAAAAGCAAATACTGAAGATCTTTACGATGTTGCAGTTGTTGGGCAGAAAGGGAACTCTCCATCTTCCTTCCCTCGTATACTCACCGGGATCCTTATAGAGGATTCAAGGATGCGTCTCTAGCTTCTTTGCCAAGCGAAGTGAGTAAACTAGCCCCAGAGAGTTGGGCGCCAGCTGAAGTGAAGGCACAAGACTGAGGGTTGATCATCAGGTGAGCTGTGCACAGGTGAGCTGCATGCAAGCTGCTCACTAGCCCTGTGGAGCCTCCTTTTATTGAGACAAATATGCAAGCCAGGCAAATACATTTTGGGCTGTGACCTTTACACATCTTCGGTCCCGAGATTGTGGGGTGGTACAAAGTTATTTTGGCACCTGTTTCCACAGCGACATTTCCCCCTTGCACAGTGTATGACGAAGGAGACAAAAGGTCTCAGGGACAAAGGTTACAGACAGGACACCGCAGACTGCTGAGACCGCAAAAGGTCAGACAGAGGGAACAATGTTCAGACAGCTGTGGCTTGTCTGGGGGGGGGGGTTGTGCCCTGCACCCCAGGGTCACATGTGCAGGCAAACCGTGCCCTGCCTGCTGGTGGGGAAGTGTGCTCCCTCCGGACCCTACTCCCCACTCTGCGATATCCCTACATGAAGCCGAGGGAAAACCCCTGCCAAAGGTACCTAGCGGCTTGTCTGTTTGGGTATAAATCAAGGAGGACTTTTAATGGTTGTAGTTTAATTGGTGAGAAGGCCAGACCGAGGGTAGTATTAAGACCGGTTTCCGGCTGCACCCTGGGAGGGTCCGGGGGCACCACGATTATCCTGGTGGAAGTGCTCCCTGCCACCCCAAAAGGGCTGCTTACCTTTGAAGCAAGATGTGGCCAGATGATTGCCTAGGCACTTCTCACATTTGTGCAGGTACTTACAGTTTGGTCACATACACTTCCCTCTGTTATACTCCCAGCATTACCTACGCCTTTTTGTCTCGACCTTCCCAGACTTATATGGGTCCAGTGGTTTCTTTTCCATGTATGGGCCCACATGCTCCATTCAATAGTTCTGGTCTCTCAGGTCCCAGCGGGTAGTGAGCAGTAAAGAAGCATTTCTGCGGAAATCTTCATCATATGTTAATGCGGCTGCCTCCCCAGCCACAGCAAAGGCCCTTCTTACGTGGGCTATGTAAGCTACTAGATGCATGCTGCGTTTAGGGTAACACGCGTAAATTACGGCCATGTAAACCTGAAACCCATCCAGCCAGTTCTCAAAATTGCGTTCTGCCTGTGGTGTCCTATACCTTCACCTCCTGTAAGTACGCTTCTTTTCCCCCTTCCCTGACACCTTAGCTGGTGGAAGCAGGGTGGAAATATCCACATAATCCCCGAGGACTTCCGGGTTAGCGCCATCGGCAATGGCGGAGTTCCTCTGACCGAGAGGAACCCGCTCCACGAAAATCGGGTCTTGCCGCCGCGGCGAAGGCGGAGACCCTTTAAAAATCCCAGGCGGAGGAAGCCTGGGAATGTGGGATTCGGCTGACACCAAGAGCGCCTCCCCTACTCGCGGGGAAACCCTTTTCCGGGGTCCCGAAGCGAAGGGGGTGAGTGGCGCGGTGTTTTGAATCGACCGCTATTTTTACGGAGTGAAGCCGCACAGCCGTTGCCAGAGAGCGCTGACTTTTTCCTGTGAAAAATTGGATTTTAAACAACTACTCGTGAGTAGAATGGAAAATTGGATTATAAAACTCTATAATTTGGCACCGAAGCGGGAAGGTCTAAACAGGAAGTCCGCCTTTCCGCTTTTGTAAATAGTTTGAAGCAAAGACATCGCAAGCTAAAGTCTAGAAAGTTATTTGTAAAGGACTAAATTTCCATCGGTCCAAACTACTAAATCCCCCCTGGAAGCAGGAGAAGAGGGGGGAAATTTTGAACTGTTTAAGCCTGCAGGAGAGAGTGTAAAAAAAGATAATTTTCTACTGTCTTGAACCCGGAAACGGGCTGCCAAAAGACAGACGTACTGGGAAGGTTCATTGACCGAAAACAAAAGGTGTGCTGACAGATAGTTAAGAAAGAGAAACATTTTGACTCCAATGTTTCTTTTTGCAGTTAAAAAGAACAAAACAGTTGAAAAAAGAAGGTAATTTTGTTGCCGGATTTGCTTCTAAAAGGACGGATACAATTGGAAATTGTATCCCCTAGAGGGAGCCTTTGAAATTGCTGCTGGAGTGGACCTGGGAAACTAGCCAGCATTAGAGATTAAGGATCGTGAGAAATATTTATTTTTTTTGACCTTGGACAAGAATGTCGACACAGGAAGCTTTAGTGTCTGCCTTGTGCAGGACAAGTGCTTTGCTGGAGCAGCTACATGCAAAGATGGATTTGATGTTTATTGCAACTGACAACTTTGGACAAACAGTGAATACTTATACGGAAATCCTTCAGGAATCGACCCAGGAATTTGCACTGACAGGGCAAGTTAAGGAGAAGACAAAGAAGGAGGTTGTTGTCGAACCTCAAGTAATATATGTTGAGAGAGCTGTGGCCTTGCAGGATAATAAGCTGTTGTTTCTGATGCCTGAGCCTAGAGTGAGTGATATTTGGAGAGATGGAGTCCCAGCTGGACTGGAGATGGGAAGTGGGCTTCCAACGCAGGGATGTCCAGACCTATGGGATTTGGTCCTGGGCCAGGGAGAAACTGGAGCTGTGGGGACCTTTAACCTTGGAGGGACATTGAAGCACGCTGTGAAACTTCCTTTGGATTTTAATGCTGATTATGGAGAATGGGTGGATCTGTCGAGAAGGGTTAAAGATATTGTTAAGTTGGAACCTCTTAGAGATCTACTCCTCAGTGTTAAAGGAAAGAAATGGAAAATAAGATCAACAGATGACAAAGTAAAGGGCAAGTACAAATTTGAAGAAGATCCGCAGAAGGGACATGGAGAAGATTTAAGAGCCTCGGATATAAGATCGCCAGGTTGATGGACTAGAGGGAATGGACAGAAAGGACTGACAGAACCCGAGACCGGGAAGAAGAGACGGTGGATGAAGATTGGAAGAAAGTTATAAAAATTTATTTAAAGAAACATTGTAAAGTTAATGAGCTTTAGGAAAATGTTGGAATGAAATTATTCGGCTTTAGTAGAAATGTTATAAGGAGATAAGTTTAAATAAGTCCTAAATTTTTAGGGTTTTTTAAGTGAAAAATTTAAGGGTAAATTGTGTCAAGATGAATTATAGAACAAAATTTGAGAAAGAGGGAAAGGATTTGCTGAAACAGTTAATTGAATTAGAATACAAAAAAGGGAGGGGTGAGGAAGTCGAGGAAATAAGTAAATGAAAGATAAAGATATGAAAATATCGGATCTGTTTTTTCCCCCTCGTTTCTTTTTAAAATGTTTTTGTCTTTAAATGTTTTTTGCTTTTGCTTTTTTCATTGAGCTGCTGTACTGTTTTTTTATTGTATCTTGTTTTTGTTTTTTCCCTCTATTTTTTCCTTTATATTTGAAGTATTGTAATTTCTTTAATTGTTGTTCTTTTTATTTCTTTCTTGTAATTGTTAAACTTTAATAAATATCATTATTAAAAAAAAAAAAATATCCAAATAATCCCCATTAAGAATCTTGGCCCTTTTTCTTTTGGACAGGTGATTCCCAAAATGAAATCGGTGGAAAGATTAGTGGAGGTTTTAACGTCCTCCACCAAAGCACCTCCCTTCCATTCCAAGGACCCATTAAATGTTTTACGATGGGAGTTAGCCCTCCTCTCATGTACCCATAGCGGAACCCCGGAAATATCCTCACCCAGGCCCCAGTACCCATCCAAGGAGGCATCGCTGTCAGAGTCTGATGAGGAAGTACGTGATTCATCCTCAGTGTCGGAAGGCTTATTTTTCTTACTCTTCTTCACTGTGTGTTTCTTCTTTGCCTTTCTCTTTCGCCCCTGCACTTCACTGACGTCCAGGGCCTGCTCGGCGGTTGTGGGCATTACTTGCTGTGCCTGTGCCTCTTCCTCTGATGATGAACCCGATCCACCTTCTGTGGGTGTAAGGCTGAGCCGGTGGCTCCTGGAATATACAGGTGCAGTGATGTACCTGGGCGCTCCTGATTGCTAGGGAGGGTGTCTGGAATGCAATCCTGTGTACCCACCATTGGCGTGGAGGACCCTGCGACCCCTGGATTACATTGTAGATAGAATGTTTCAAACGCGGAATAATAATAATAATAATAATAATAATAATTTTTATTTATATCCCGCCCTCCCCAGCCGAAGCTGGGCTCAGGGTGGCTAACAACAATCAAATAATCCAACATTCTAAAAACATTTCATTATAAAAATTAATTAAAATCAAATTGATGGCAACCGTTAAGCAAAATTCTGTGCAGATTGCCAGAGGAGGGAGTCAGGCTGCGCCCTGACCAAAGGCCTGGTGGAACAGCTCTGTCTTGCAGGCTCTGCAGAAAGATGTCAAGTCCCGCAGGGCCCTAGTCTCTTGTGACAGAGCGTTCCACCAGATTGGAGCCGCAGCTGAGAAAGCCCTGGCTCTAGTTGAGGCCAGCCTAACCTCTCTGTGGCCTGGGACCTTCAGGATGTTTTTATTTGCAGACCGTAAGTTCCTCTGTAGGACATACCAGGAGAGGAGGTCCCGTAGGTACGAGGGTCCTAGGCCGTATAGGGCTTTAAAGGTTAAAACCAGCACCTTAAACCTGATCCTGTACTCCACCGGGAGCCACTGCAGCTGGTATAGTACCGGATGAATGTGATCTCGCAGTGAAGACCCCATAAGGAGTCTTGCCGCGGCATTCTGCACCCGCTGGAGTTTCTGGGTCAGTCTCAAGGGCATCCCACGTAGAGCGAGTTACAATAATCCAGTCTGGAGGTGACCGTCGCGTGGATCACAGTGGCTAGGTCAGGGTGAGAGAGGTAAGGAGCCAACTGCTTAGCTTGGCGGAGATGGAAAAATGCCACCTTTGTTATAGCTGTAATCTGCGCCTCCATAGAGAGGGAGGTATCGAAGATTACACCCAAACTCTTAACGGACGGTGCTGGCACTAATTGCACCCCCACAAGAGATGGGAGTTGCCCCCTCAATCCCATATCGTCCCGTCCCAGCCAGAGCACCTCTGTCTTCTAAGGATTTAACTTCAACCGGCTCCCACGTAACCATCCAGCCACAGCTTCCAAACATCTGGTCAGTGTGTCTGGGGCCGAGTCAGGATGGCCATCCATCAACAGATAGAGTTGGGTGTCATCGGCATACTGATGGCAACCCAGCCCAAAACTCCGGACAAGCTGGGCGAGGGGGCGCATAAAGATGTTAAAAAGCATCGGGGAGAGTATCACACTCTGAGGCACTCCACACACCAAGGAGTGGCGTGATGACAGTTCCCCCCCAAGCGCCATCCTCTGTCCCCGACCAGAGAGAAACGAGCACAGCCATTGAAGGACTGTGCCCTGGATCCCCACGTCGTCAAGGCGGTGGTCCAGGAGTTCGTGATCGACCATGTCGAAGGCTGCTGACAGATCTAGAAGAATCAGCAGCCCCGACCCGCCTCGATCCAGCTGCCTCCGGAGATCATCTGTTAGGGCGACCAGAGCCGTCTCAGTCCCATGACCAGTGCGGAAGCCGGACTGGAATGGATCCAGAGCCGATGTTTCATCCAGAAACCTGCCAAGCTGTTCAGCAACTGCTCTCTCAATCACCTTACCCAGGAACGGAAGATTCGAAACCGGGCGGTAATTGGATAGATATAAGGGATCGAATGATGTTTTCTTTAAGAGCGGGCGCACCACTGCCTCCTTCAGTTCCCCTGGGAATATCCCGGTGCCAAGGGGCAAATTGATGATATCCCCCAGGGGGGCCGGCACCTCGTCTGGACACGCTCTAATCTTCCGGGGAGGTGCCTCCGGTAATGGCGGAATTCCTCTGACCGGGAGTAATCTGCTCTGTGGGAATCTGGTGGCAAATTGATGATATTCCCCCAGGGGGGGCCTTTACCTCCTCTGGACACGCTCTAATCAGCCAAGACGGGCACGGGTCGAGAGGACAGGTGGTGGGCTTTCCAGCTCAGAGGAGTCTGTCCACATTGGCTGGGGATATCCGGTCAAAGTGGTCCAATACTGGACCCGAGGACAGTCGAGGGGCCTCCAGTTCCTTTATTGTATCCAAATTGGCAGGGAGGTCATGGCGGAGCAACAGGACCTTCTCCGCAAAAAAGCTCGCAAATGCCTCACAGCTGTGTGTCAAATTTTTATTTAAATTTGGCTGTCCTTCAAGGGACATTAAAGACCTAATTATACTAAATAATTGCGCCGGGCGAGAGCTAGCGGATGTAATGGAGGTCGAGAAGTAAGACTTCTTAGCGGCCTTCACTGCCATTTCATAGGTTTTCATAAAAACCCTATAAGATGTTCTTGAGGCTCCATCACAGGCACCCCGCCATACTCGCTCTAGCCGTCTGAGGTCCCGCTTCATTTTCCGAAGCTCCTCGGTAAACCAGGGAGCCCGGTTTCTGCAGGGTCGCAGAGGGCGCTTAGGGGCAATCTCATCGATGGCTGCCAGGAGCATTCCAGCCCTCAACAAGCTCAGTCAATGAGTCGCCAGGGGGAGCAAGGTCCCGCAAGGCTTGGCGGAATCTATCAGGGTCCATCAGCCTCTGCGGGCGAGCCCAAATCGGCTTGCCACCTAAGCAGGGTGGGGGTGTAAAGTCAATCCTGGCTTTCAGAGCGTAGTGATCAGACCATGGCACCTTCATCGAAGGAGACATGATCACATCTATACCGACGCCAAAGATCAAATCCAGCGTGTGGCCTGCTTGATGTGTGGGGCCAGAAACAAACTGGGAGAACCCTAGTGTCGCCATGGAAGACACCAGATCCAGAGCCTGGGAGGAGGGAGTGGCATCAGCATGGATGTTAAAGTCCCCCAATACCAATAGGTTAGGGAACTCCAAGGCCCAGCCGGCCACCGCCTCCAGCAGGCCTGACAGGGTGGCTGCTGGTGCGCTAGGTGGCCAGTACACCAGCCAGACAGCCAAGCCACTGGCGAAGCGAAGTGTGGTCCTTGAGGTGCGTTTCCTAGCGACGCGAGTCCGTCTAGGCCACTGACAGGACGCGGAGAAAGGTGACTGAGTGAGAAACAACGCTAGGTGGACGGAGTGTCCCAGGGGTTAAGAGAAAAAAAGGTAAACCAACCCCCTTGCAGTGGTTTTTTGGGACAATTGGAAATATCAAGCTACAGTTGAAAACCCTTGTAAGCTCCTTTCTGTATTCTGGCGGTGACCAGCATAGGTCCGTCCAGTTGGCTTGTATTGTATTGCCAACACGTGGGGTCCGGAAAAAAATATGTGCTCTGCCGATGCGCCAGGAATAGAACCCTGCATGAAGGGGTTCTCAATTCTGCCACATCTACTGTGCTGCATCTTAGGGGGTTGGGAAACAGACCTTAACACACCTAGAATCTTGCAGAGTACAAGTATAAAAAAGGATTATTTGGTCTTTAACATTAAAAGTGACATGAGTTGCTCATGAGGTCAAATGTTATATTTTCATGTTAAAGGTGGGAAGGTTTCAATTACTAATACAATCGTATTGTACTGGTTTCAGAATTTGAATGTCATCAATTCACTGTGCTTTGAGCTACCTGGTATCTTAATATTTTTGTTAAAAGTTTGTTTCTTATTGACTCTGTTGCATAGGTACCCTGGGTGATTTAGAAACCACTTGTTAAATGTTGATCAAAAGTAAAAATGTACAAATGTATGGAAAAAAGTAGTGTTGCCAAAAGGGATGGGGTTTTAAATCCCATGTACATACAGATGCGGAGAGAAGTCAGAATGTAGGAACAAAAGAAAAGTTGGGTAGTGGGTTGTAAAGACGGTTGAGTATTTATGCTGATTAGTATTACTGAAATTAATATATTCATATGCTATTATTGAGAGAGAATTTACTCTCTCTAGTAAAAGCTGAATAGATAGAGGCTGTGTGAACAGCAACACACTTTAGTCACAGTCCTACATGGAGGAGTGGAGTGATCCACATTAAGATTCTTGGTTGAGGTTTTCATAAGTAAAAACAGCTTTTAAAGAATTAATCCACAGCTGTTGCAATCCTGAAAGGTGCAGTTGCCTTGATCTTGCCTTGTGGTTTATTTAAAAACTCCAGGAAGAAAGAAAGTCCTTCTGAATTAAGAATATAATATATTATAGAGCAGCCCTCTTTTTGGCTGGCTGGACAGCTAACCATCCATAAATTAACAGCAAGAGTAGGGACCTGGAATGTTGTTTGTGCTTTTAGTATGTCCCTCCCATGAAAGATACTCCTTGGACATCTATTAATTGAAAATTGAGATGGCTCTTTTGGTTTCTGAGTGTACATGCCAGGAGAGGTCTTAGGCAAAATAACTTTTATTTCCCTGTTCACATTAGGCTGTGGAAAGTGTTCAATGCTGGACTTCTGGGGTGGCGCCATCGGCAATGGCGGATTCCCTCTGAACTGGAGGGACCAGCTCCACGGGAATCGGGTCTTTTCCGCTACGGCGAAGCGGGGACCCATTCAAAAATCACAGGCGGATGAAGCCTGTGACCATGGGACTCGGCGGGCACCTTTAGCGCCCCCCCAACCCGCAAAGGAACCCACTAACGGGCTCCGGAGCGAAGAGGGGGAAGTGGCGCGGTGCTGAGAGTCAACTGCTTCTTCCGTGGAGCGAAGCCGCACAGCCGTTGCCGGAGAGCGCTGCCTTTTTCCTGGGACAATTTGGCTTTTAAAACAACCACCCGTGAGTACTTAAGTTTTGGACAATTGGACTCTAAATAAGGATTTGCGAGCAGAAAGGAAAACTGGACTTAAAAGTTTGATTTAATTTGGCACTGAAACGGGAAGGTCTAAACAGGAAGTCAGCCTTCCATTTCTTTGTAGATAGATTAAAGCAAAGACTCAGCAAACTAAAGTTCTGAAAATCGCTTCTAAAGGATTAACTTTCATCATTT